AGACACATTCACAAGGAAAAATGATATTTACAACAGATTTCTGTAAAAGATCCAAGACTGAGGAGGCAAAAAATAATTAGACAAGAAAAGTTACAAGGAAATAAAATATTGTTAAGAGAACATTACCTCTATAATATTAGTACAGATTAGTTTGGATAAAGTTGTTGAATTAAGATTTTTTTAGGAAAGAAAGAACAAATACTTCAGAATTAATAACAAATGATTGGAAAAAGGGATTAAACAAACATTGTGTTAAGGTAAAAAACATGGAGTATACAGTGTTAGAGCTTAAAAAAGTTAAAAATGTAAATAAACAAATTAATACTGGTAACCTAAGAAACAATCTCCCCTTGAAGACAAATAAGTGGAATAATAAAACTGAAGTGACTCTTGGATATTGGAACATTCAGGGGTTACAGAAAAAACTTTCTAGGGAAACCGATAAAGAATATATAAGGAACCATTTTATTATTGGTTTTTCAGAGACTTGAATGGTCAAAATGAAGGAAGATGATAACTTATATTTAGAACAAGAACACATTGTACTATTCAGCAAGACTCAAAGAAATAGAAGTTTCGGTCAAGCATCTGGAGGAATTTCCTTATCTGATACTTTAACAACTCACCAATATGTTTCTTGATTAAAACTATTAGTTATTAAAGTATCAGATAAGGAAAAATTATGTTTTTGCTTTAATACATACTCAGTCAATGTATGAATCAAGTTGGGGAGATTCAAAGATTAATATAATAATCGTATATTTCTCCCTTTAATGGATAAAGTAACATGTTTCCAGAAATCCAGAGTTGTTACACAGTGGTCAATTATTACAAAATAACTACCCTTTACAAACCTTTAACATGCAGTCTATTTTATTAATGTAATATAACGTTTTCGATCAAATTATAAATTTATGGATTATAGGTGGAAATTTTAATCCCCAAATTGAAGATAATTTGGACTCTATATATAAAGGAAAAAATTCTAATGTTAATTATATAAGATTATCTGAAGATAATACTGTTAATGTAAATAGAAAAGTTTTATTGGAATTTGTTCAGGAGAATGGTCTAGTAAATGGTAGGGTTCTGGTGATATTCCAGCAGAATATACTTTAGTATCACATATTGGTAAATCAGTAATAGATTATACAGTCGACCCCCATACAACACTGTTGATAATTCCATTTTATATGAATTCCATGTTGTACGAGTCACTTAGATTTTACAAATACGTGAGCCGTTCACAGCCCGGGACACGTATTTGTAAAATCTAAGTGAATTCATGGAATAACATGGAATTCATATAAAACAGAATTATCAACAGTGTTATGGGGGTCGACTGTATTATTTGTTCAGAATTTTTCACTGATTGGTGTTTAATAATGGAGGTACTTAATCTTAATGATTCAGATCATTTTCCAGTACAGTTGAAATTGATTGGAAGTTTAGAAGAGATATAGGAATGGCAGAAACCTACACAGTTTTAAATTAGAGGTATAGGTGGAAACATTAATAAACAAAGGTTTTTGAGGGAAACTGAAAACAATTTGAATGACCTAACATTACATGAGGTACAAAACAATAAACGATTCAGTAAATAATTATTATAAATGAACAACATTATTAGAATAATATCGTTTTAGAAGTTGTAAAAAGTACAAAGTTCCAAAATTTAAACAAAAATGATTTGACAATAACTGCTATTATTATAAATTGAAGAAACAAAAGTTTGAAACAATTTAGAAAGACAAACTCATATCAATCAGTAAATGTATATCTAGAAAATAAAAGAATTTATAGAAATTATATAAAAGCAAAAAAGATAAAGTATTTTTGGAAATAAGTGGCACACTAAGTAATATGAAATATACAAAGTCATTCTGGAATATTGTAAATAATTTTCGTAGACCAATTTTAAAAGAAAACGAAGGGCTATTGGTTCCATTTGAGAGTTGGTCTCAGTATTTTAAAATTTTTTCAGATAACTATTTATGTAAAAATATTTCTAATTTTAAATATAATTATCAGCCAATAGATAAAACATGTGAACATTTATTTAGTATAAATAATTTAGGTAATAATATAAGAAAATTAAAGGATAATACACCTCCAGGTTATGACTCCATTTCCAATTTTATAATGAAAAATTTACTGAAGAATGTAAAATTCTTGGTTAGACAATTTAATGATTTATATAATATGAGTAAGATTCCATAAGACTGGAACAAGGTTGATCTTTAGATGTTTAAAAAAAGGGAGAGGAAATTTCCACATAATTATAGACCTATAAGCACTTCTTTCAGGCCTTTGTAAGTTATTTACTTCAGTTTGATTAACAAAGTTTAATGATTGGGTTGAACAGAATCACTATAGAAATAATCATATTCAATTTGCAATTAAAAACGGGGTACTCAGTTGGCCTTATTTGTCTTAATTGCAATTATTCAATTACAACTTAGTAAAAAGAGACATAAGATGTTTGCTTTATTTTTAGATATTAAGAAGGCCTATGATTCTGTTATTATTTCAAATTTACAAAAGAAAATGATTAAATACCAAGCAGAAGAATAATTTATAAAAATGATAGGTTTATTGTTTGGGTGCTATGAGGTAATGATTACACATAAAACTATTCAATGGCCAGCTTTTGAGATTTACCTTGGGTTATTACATGGTAACCCTTAGTGACCACATTTGTTTAATTTTTATACATTCAATCTCAATGATTGTTTTAAGAGAGAGGAAAATGATTTTTTAATTGTTAGCAGGTAGTATATTCAATGTCATATGCGGACAACACGGTGCTTGTTGCTCCGACAACAACTGGCTTACATAGGAAGATACAGGCTGTGTACGAGTTTTGTGAAGAGTTAAAATTCAAAATTGATTCCGGTAAGTCATTTGTGATGGTATTTTTGAATGAAGGTAGACTTTCCAAAGAACATGTCGTTTTATCTTAAAAATGAAGAACTATAAATGATATAAGAAATCAAATTCTTTTATTATTTTAATATTAGACTTTTGCATACATTGTATTGATTCTCAAATGATAAAGTAGGAATCAGCATGACTCCCCTTTATCATTTGAGAATCAATACAAACAATGTATGCAAAAATCAAATATATTGATTAATAACATGCTGAGATTATTTATTCAACTAAAATTGAAAAATCTCATTACCCAATTTCATGATACAGTAATACCTCAACTCACGCTACCCTGACTTACTCAAACCCAGAGTTATGCGATTTTCAAATCTTGTTGATTCCTCTTTTGTTTGAGCGCCACGCAACTCTTGATTACTTCCCACACTATTGTTCAGCTTACATGTTCGGACATGTCGCGTGGAATCGACGCATAGCTACAATTTATTTTGTGTTATTTATTTCTGTGTTTGTTATATCTACGGAGATTTGAAAGACTATGTCATCCAAACGAAGTAGGACTGATTCTTCTGTATCAAATAAGAAAAAAAACTTTATCTTTGGAATGTAAAGTTAACATTATTAACTTCGATAGAAAAATGAAAATTTTTGAATTGGCAAAGAAGTTTGATCTACCGGAATCGACGGTCAGAACAATTATAAAAGGTAAAGAAAAAATTCTCAAAGCTGTGAAAAATGCTCAATCTTTAAATTCAAACATCATTCGTAAACATCACAGTATTATCACTGAGATGGAAACAATGTTAAAATTATGGTGTGATAATCAAGTAAATGTGAAAAATTGTCCTGTTGATCAAACCACGGTGTGCTGTCAAGCTAAGCTGGTTTTTGAAAGATTGAAAGAGGATGCTGGAGAAATGGCTAAATATGAAGAGTTTAAAGTTAGTAACAGTTGGTTCAACCGATTCAAAAGTTGTTGTAATTGGCATAGCATTGCAGAAAGTGGAGAAGCGGCAAGTGCTGATAAAGAGGCTGCGTCTTACTATCCAGAGAAATTCAAAGCTATGATAGATGAAGGTGATTATGATAGATGAAGGGATAGAGGAAGACAAATTAAACATCCACTCCGCTTTGATGAAAAATTTGGTTATTACAGCATAAGTGTAAATTACTGTGATGCTACTGTTCCAGAAAATTTTCAGGAGGAGATGACAAGTGATGATTCAAAGAAATGGAAAGCAGCAATGAATTCCGAGATGGACAGTCTTGTGATAAACAATACATGGATACTTGTAAGCAAGCCTCCTAAAGACAAAAGGGTAATTGATGTGAAGTGGATTTACAGAAAGAAGAGTGAAAGTGAATATAAAGCCAAGTTAGTGGTAAGAGGTTTTCAACAAACTGATTGTATTGATGACATTTATTCTCCTGTTGCTAAAATGCCGACTTTAAAGTTGTTATTGTCTTATTGCTGTCAAAATTCTTTAAATATTCATCAAATGGATGTAGAAACAGCATTTCTAAATGGTAAAGTTTTGAAGTTTATGTAAAACAGCCAATTGGTTATGAAGATGGTACTGATAGAGTTTATAAATTGAATAAGTTATTATATGGATTAAGGGAAAGTCCTCGAGCATGGTATGAATGTTTTAATGACNAAAATCACATACATTATAGAGACAGCCATTCCAAACACTCACAATGTACAAAACACATGCACTGAAAAAATTAGCAAGTACACAGAACTCGCCCAGGAAATAAGGCATCTGTGGAGGATGGATAAGGTGCTTATTGTACCTGTCTTTCTCTTCTGTACAGGTGTGATACCACACACACTACACAAAAGCCTGGGAACATTACAATTGAATAGAAATACATACATCACACTACAGAAGGCCACTATATTGAATACATGTGGTATTGTTAGAAAATTCCTGAATACAGACACTAACACTGACACACTTATTTAATTTTAGTTTTGTTTTGGTTGCTATGCCTTGACTCTTGTCTGGCATAGTACACAGCCACTGATGTCAACCGAATATAACCCACTAAACCAAGCATAATAATAATAATGTAACATAATTAATAAATTACTTTCAATAACTCACCAGTATAGCAATAATAAATTAAAGCTTGAAGTGCTTCTGCATTAACGGCCTGAAGTTCAACTTCCTGTTGAAAAGCTTCTCTCAGATCATTCGTAAACATAGCAGCAAAGTAATCACTAGCGGCACTAAGGACCAAACGATGAGCTGGAATTCTTAAATTTTCTACTTTAAGTACGACGTCCGTTAACTGACGATTTACAAATAAGGACTTCATTCTCTGTAAACTGCATTCCGCATGACGTGAAGAACAGAAAGTACCATCTGGCCGAACCAAACCTTCCTGTCGATCGCTCGTCATGCTACCAACAGAACCTTCCCTGGAAATTGACGATGCATAACTGAAAATAACAGACACCAAATTATAAAGACAACAAATGATTCGTTTTAAATTACAATTATAAGTTATTATAAAATTATTTATTTTTACTTTAACATTTTCTAATCTTTTTAAAAATTTGTACAATCGAAAACTTTACCAAGTGTTTTTGTAGCACTAGCGAAAGCTGGACAACATACCAGAAAAATATTTAAGTTTTAATTAATAGCATTAATAGCATTATATGAAGAATATTTTTGTACAACTTTGTGTTTATTTTTTGTCACCCTGAGTGACAAAAAATAAACACAAAGTTGTACAAAAATATTCTTCAGACCTGTCAACTTCTCAGATTTCAAAGAAACATCACCCCACCACGTACAGAGTTCCAACTCAAATTTTTGTTTTAAATTCCATTACTTTCCCTGACTTCCCTTGACCAACTTTGTAGAAATTCCCCAACCCTCACATCCCTTACAGTACAGCACATTGGCAAAATAAAACAACATATAACATACTATGCAAATATGCTATTGCTTCTTCAACTTTTTAATTAGTTATTTTTTCTAATTAACAGTTACATAATTTTTATAATTATATACAGTCAATACACCTTAATACTGAGAATGCACATTTATTGAGCTAAACAAATGTTTTCAACCCATTTCATGAGTCATCATCAGGTTAAAGACGTTCAAATCTAAGCAATTATCGAACATGTTCAAATTTAAATTATATTAGAACATACGTTGAAATTAAATTATGTAAATAAGCATAACAAAATTAATACAATAAATACGAAAAACAAAATAATATAAAAAGGAATACAAAATATGGTAATTTCCCGCAATCTAATATGTAAACATTTTTATATATTAACCCCGGTTTTCATTGTATCATCCTATGAGTTTTTTCTGATTATGTATTTCCATGCCAACGGTAAAATGGTTGCATCCTTATAGTTTAAACATTTATCCGTCAAGCTGGAGCTGTAGATCTCACATTTCTCTGTTGTGGATGCAAGTGTTGGCGAGTGTACCTTTGCAATGATTCTGGCCTCCTCCCATTTAACTACAGATCCATCTGTTTGCGCTATTTTTGATAACGCTGTTGCATATTGGCTCTTTGCAACGTCATACTTGTGCTCCTTCATCCTCACGCTAAGGTTTCTATTAGTGACTCCTATGTATTCTTTATCTATTCCTAATTGGTCGTTCTTTTATGGTATTGCATACACTCCTGCTTGTTCTTTTTCATTAATTTTTTCTTTGTCGTTTCTGAGCAACATATATAATGTGGGAGCTCTTTTGTATACTATATTGGTGTTTTTGTAGTTCGCGATTTCTTTCATAACCGGGAATAGATGTTTATTATATGTAAATTTTGTGATGTTGCTGCTTCCTCTGGTTTTTTCTTTTTGCTCTTTCTAGGATCGTTGTATGCGGTAATTAGACGCTCTACAGATCTTGTTCCAAAACCAACCCTTTCGCCACTTCTTTAATTCTATTCAGTTTCAGTTCCTCTATCGTGTCTATTACGTTGGAGCAATACAGAAACGCTCTTCTGATTAGCACCCTAAAGGCAGAGAGTTTATAAACAGTTGGATCATTAGATGTCGCTGGTATATATATCGGATCATGAGTGAGCTTGATATACACCTTTGTGTACAGTGATCCATTCCTAAATTCAATTTTAACGTCCAAGAAATGTAGTTCTTTGCTACTAATCTGTTCTAGGTTCAGTTTTAAACAATGTTGGTTGGAATTAATTTGGCTCAAGAATTGTTGTATCTTTGTGTCATTCTTCCAGCGACATCTAATGATCCAACTGTTTATAAACTCTCTGCCTTTAGGGTGCTAATCAGAAGAGCGTTTCTGTATTGCTCCAACGTAATAGACACGATAGAGGAACTGAAACTGAATAGAATTAAAGAAGTGGCGAAAGGGTTGGTTTTGGAACAAGATCTGTAGAGCGTCTAATTACTGCATACAACGATCCTAGAAAGAGCAAAAAGAAAAAACCAGAGGAAGCAGCAACATCACAAAATTTACATATAATAAACATCTATTCCCGGTTATGAAAGAAATCGCGAACTACAAAAACACCAATATAGTATACAAAAGAGCTCCCACATTATATATGTTGCTCAGAAACGACAAAGAAAAAATTAATGAAAAAGAACAAGCAGGAGTGTATGCAATACCATAAAAGAACGACCAATTAGGAATAGATAAAGAATACATAGGAGTCACTAATAGAAACCTTAGCGTGAGGATGAAGGAGCACAAGTATGACGTTGCAAAGAGCCGATATGCAACAGCGTTATCAAAAATAGCGCAAACAGATGGATCTGTAGTTAAATGGGAGGAGGCCAGAATCATTGCAAAGGTACACTCGCCAACACTTGCATCCACAACAGAGAAATGTGAGATCTACAGCTCCAGCTTGACGGATAAATGTTTAAACTATAAGGATGCAACCATTTTACCGTCGGCATGGAAATACATAATCAGAAAAAACTCGTAGGA